ATAAAGCAGTACTAATACTTCATGTGATTTTGACTCTATGCCTCTGTTTATGCAACCTAGGATTGTGTTAGCTTTTTTGGCTGCCGCCGCACACTGCTGACTCATATTTTTTTAGAATAGAATAGAATAGAATAGAATAGAATAGAATAGAATAGAATAGAATAGAATAAGAATAAGAATAAGAATGGAGTGGAGTGGAGTGGAGTGGAGTGGAGTGGAGTAGAGTAGAGTAGAGTAGAATACAATATGGAATGGAATGGAAAGGAATGGAGTGAACGGAATAGAATAGAATAGAATATAGAATAGAAGAGAATAGAATAATAGAATAGAATAGAATAGAATAGAGCTGGAAGGGACCTTGGAGGTCTTCTAGTCCAGCCCCCTGCTCAAGCAGGAGACCCAATACCATTCCAGACAAGTGGCTGTCCAGTCTCTTCTTAAAAGCCTCCAGTGATGGAGCACCCACAACTTCTGGTGGCAAGCTGTTCCACTGGTTAATTGTCCTCACTGTCAGGAAATTTCTCCTTAATTCCAGGTTGCTTCTCTCCTTGATGAGTTTCTATCCATTGCTTCTTGTCCTGCCTTCAGGTGCTTTGGAAAATAATTCCATCCCCTCTTCTTTGTGGCAGCCTCTGAATTTAAGTGATTGTCCACTAGGACTCCAAGATCCTTCTCATAGTTACTGCTATTGAACCAGATTTCACCTAATCTGTACCTGTACATTTGTTTTTTCTTGCCTAAGTGTAAACATCTCAACAAAGATCGCAGCGGATGGAATTGTCCTTATCCATTGCTAGCCAGCTGTGTCCTGCTCAAATATCTTTCCTATGCATGTAGGAAAGGTCTTAAACCAAAGTCCCTAATTGATTAAGATCAGAAACATACCACCTCTTGACATTGCTGCCGATAAAGATCACTCTTTGGAATTGACAACCTGTAGCCTTTCCGAAGACTTGGCTCCTGGGCTGTATATCCTGGTTTCATTTATTGGACAAGCTGGGATTCAGTAGGGAAAAATCTAACCAGGGCAGGTGAAACAGGTGAAAAATGCCCCCAAAACCAACCCATAAAAAACAAGGATGGAGTGGGCAGTTAGTGGAATCCTGCTGTTTAGATAGAGCTGGAAGGGACCTTGGAGGTCTTCTAGTCCAGCCCCCTGCTTAAGCAGGAGAACTTACACCATTTCAGACAGGTGATTGTCCAGTCTCTTTTTAAAGATCTCCATTGATGGAGCAGTCACAATTTCTGGGGGCAAGCTGTTCCACTGGTTGATTGTCCTCACTGTCAGGAAGTTTCTCCTTAATTCCAGGTTGCTTCCCTCTTTGATCAGTTTCCAACCATTGTTTCTCGTCCTTCCCTCTGGTGCTCTGGTGAACAACGTGACCCCTTCTTCCTTGTGGCAGCCCCTCAGATCCTGGAACGCTGCTATCATGTCTCCCCTATTTCCTCTTTACTTTAGATTAGCCAAACCCAAGTACCGCAGCCGTTCTTCGTGTGTTTTAGTCTCCAGCCTTTGATCATCCTAGTTGCTCTTCTCTGGATTTTTTCCAAACTCTCAACATCTTTTTTGTGATGTGGACATGGAGAGATGAAGGACATCGCCCTTGCAGCTCAAGAAGAATCAGATGAGTAGAGTCAACTTCAAACCGGAAACCTGGGATTCCCTCGGAAGAGTTGCAGCCAGATCCAGATGTGTGGCCAGGACAGGAAGGTGGTCTTGCCGTTCCAAGAAGTAACCGCAATGCAGAACAGCTGGTGATGAAGCAATCTCAGTTTACACCTGAGCTCATCTGTCAACTTCAGGTACCTTGATGAAGTTCCAACAGCTGCTCTACTTTGATGCTTGCAACAGCTCACCCCACTGCGATAATCTTGCTGTAAAAGGCAAGGATAGGGAGGGGCGGGGGCTCAGCTTCGGCCCCCATCCTCCAGCCACATCCCTGGAGCACCAAAGTCCAGATGGATAGCCAGAAAGGACGTCTCGCTAGCACAGCCACCCTGCTTATTTTTAATTATGACTATTATTTGCGAAGCGGGGCCCCCATACCGCGGATGACCTGGTTTGGAGGAAGCAGAAAGCCCTAGTCTTGGTCAACGTCCCCCCCCCCTCTTCTGCTGCATAAAAGAGTTAAGATCTATTTTAAAACAGAAATTGCAAAATGAGCATCAGGGACTTTTTTTAGAAGGGGGGGAAAAAAAAACCAGGACGATGAAAAACAGTATCAATGATACAACAAACAACTCAATATGTATGCGTCCACAGCAGCCAGCCTGCTGGTTGCCCTCTGGGGTATAAATTATTTTTAAAAAATAAGAGAAAGGCTACTGCGGTGCGAACGTTCGTGACAGAGGGTCTGGAGGCCGGCGGTGCGTTATTGAGTGATTCAGCCCAAGAAATGCAGGGTTTTGGGGGGGGTTTGTGAGTAGACTGTGGGGAAAATATTTCCTTCCCCCTGTTTTCACTCCTGTTCTAAAAATCTTGGAGGGAAAGAGTGAAAGAGTAAAGCACCTCCTGGCATAATATTCCAAGCAAGCTCTTACAGATAATGGGCTACACTTGAAAAAGTGTTGTGATGCATTACAGAAGCCAGATTTAGCTGAGGGACAACCCACAGGGAAGCTGTGCGAGACAAAATAATCTGGGTGAAATCAAGAAAGAATCAGCGGGATTTATCAGCAGGTCTTGACTAAAAACTCTACGTAAAGAAGCGTCGGTGGTTTTCTTGCAGACGTCGCATTACCAAAGTAAGTAACGTTGTCAGCACTGATGAAGTTACCCAGATGGGTGATGAAAGGTCTGCAGGAAAATCACCAAGCTCAGAAAGCACCCAGGACCCTTCATGTCAACTCCTCTATCAGTACAAAGAAGTCCATGTGTTTTAAGGCTTTTAAAGCTGCAGGCCGCTAGGAGCCATATTGAAACAAGATGGGAGGCAAATGAATCTAATAACAACAGCACTTAGATTGATATACCACTTCACAGTGCTTTGCTTTACAGCCCTCTCTAAGCAGTTTACAGAGCCAGCTTGTTGCCCCCAACAATCTGGATCCTCATTTTACCGACCTCGGAAGGATGGAAGGCTGAGTCAAACATGAGCTGGTCAGGATCGAACTCCTGGCAGTCAGCAGAGTTTGCCTGCAATCCTGCATTCTAAGCACTGCGCCACCACGGCTCTTAATGCAACATCCGATCAGCTACAGCAATAGCAGTAGCACTTAAAAGACTTACAGTATATACCGCTTCACAGTGCTTTACAGCCCTCTCTAAGCGGTTGACAGGGTCAGCCTGTTGACCCCCTCCAACAATCTGGGTCCTCATTTTACCCACCTCGGAAGGATGGAAGGCTGAGTCAACCATGAGCTGGTCAGGATCGAACTCCAGACTGTGGCAGTCAGCCTGCAATACTGCATTCTAACCACTGCACCATCATGGATGAATGGATGGATGGAAGGAAGGAAGGAAGGAAGGAAGGGCAATAAACACTTAGACTTATATACCACTTCGCAGTGCTTTACAGCCCTCTCTAAGCAGTTTATACAGAGCCAGCTTGTTGCCCCCAACAATCTGGATCCTCATTTTACCGACCTCGGAAGGATGGAAGGCTGAGTCAAACATGAGCTGGTCAGGATCGAACTCCTGGCAGTCAGCAGAGTTTGCCTGCAATCCTGCATTCTAAGCACTGCGCCACCACGGCTCTTAATGCAACATCCGATCAGCTACAGCAATAGCAGTAGCACTTAAAAGACTTACAGTATATACCGCTTCACAGTGCTTTACAGCCCTCTCTAAGCGGTTGACAGGGTCAGCCTGTTGACCCCCTCCAACAATCTGGGTCCTCATTTTACCCACCTCGGAAGGATGGAAGGCTGAGTCAACCATGAGCTGGTCAGGATCGAACTCCAGACTGTGGCAGTCAGCCTGCAATACTGCATTCTAACCACTGCACCATCATGGATGAATGGATGGATGGAAGGAAGGAAGGAAGGAAGGAAGGGCAATAAACACTTAGACTTATATACCACTTCGCAGTGCTTTACAGCCCTCTCTAAGCAGTTTATACAGAGTCAGCCTGTTGCCCCCCAACAATCTGGGTCTTCATTTTACCGACCTCGGAGGGATGGAAGGCTGAGTCAACCTTCAGCTGGTCAGGATGGAACTGCTGACTGTGGGCAGAGTCAGCCTGCAATGCTGCATTCTAAGCACTGCACCACCATGGCTCTTAATAAATAAATAATAAATAAATGTGTGACAGAGGTACAATTCCACCGTTCATTGCAAGTGTACCTTAGATGCATGTAAGGAATAATTAAGGCTTTTAAAAAAATGACATGTTGCCATTTGCTTTCGTTTTTCTAAGCAAAGCATCAGGCTAAAAATTTTCTCCTGGGCAATGTTGCGTGCAGATTTTCTAGCATGTGGTGTTTTTTTTTTTTCCTTTTCCCCCCAGTTACAAAGAATAAAATAAAAATAAAAGGGTACAGGTAGTCCTCAAATTAAAGCAGTGTATTTAGTGACTGTTCGAAGTGACAACGGTACTGAAAAAAAGTGACTTAGGACTGCTTTTCAGACTTACGACCGTTTGCAGCACCCCCCACGGTCAGGTGATCAAAATTTAGACCCTTGGCAACTGACTCATATTTACGACGGTCGCAGTGTGGCAGGGTCACGTGATCCCCTTTGGCGATCTTCTAAGAAGCCAAGTCAACGGGGGAGCCATATTCACTTAAACAACCATGTTACTAACTCACCAATTGCACGGGTTCACTTAACAATCGTGGTGAGAAATGTCGTAAAACGGGGCAAAACTCACTTAGCAACGTAACTTTTGGACTTAATTACGGTCGTCACTCAAGGGCTATCTGTGAAGTGGAATATATGTGAAAAGTTGCTGGGGTTAAAAGACCCCCCTACACACACACACACGTACACACAGGGTTATATAATGAAGTCCCACCTAATCATCAGCGGTCGATGAAAGAGGAAGATCGTTATTACTTACACATCACGTTGAGAAAAATGTTGCCTGAGGCCAGGACCACCTTCTCACGGGTCGCCCTGTCGTAAATTCCCACGTGACATTCATAGGGTCCGTTGTCCGAAATTCGGACTTCAGGGAGTCTGGAGTGACAAGAGAGAAACAGAGAATGAAGGACACTGTGATGCATTGAGGACCCTGTAGGAAATGACTGTGATTTTCTTAATACATTATAGTCGGTTGACTCCTGACTGTTCATTTAGTGATCGTTTGAAGTTACACCGGCACTGGAAAAAGTGACTTATGACCGGTCCCCACACTTATGTGTCATGGTTCCGACAGATGAAACTCTTCAAAGAACTTGGAGGCATTGTTTACCTTAAAGAATCTTTATTCGAGTAGCATAGCATTGGCAGGTACATAGGCCAAGCCAAAATCTCCCCTGAGCACATATTATCAAAGCACAATTCCCTCCTCTAATTAGCAGTCATAAATCACATTCTCCAATTAGTTTGAAATGCAGGCTTTCCCTCCAGTTCTCCAACCGCCATTTCTTATCATCTCTTATTTCAAAAAACCTTGGTTCTCACACTAGTTGCAATATTGTTATGTCTAACTAACTCCCATGCACATTCCTCCACCACCACCCCAGTATCAACGCTGCTAACATCAGATGTTCTTGCTTTGACATTACAACTGTAGCAGCATCCTTACGGTCACATGATCAAAATGTGGGTGATTGGCCGTTGACTCGCATCTATGATGGTGTCAAGAATGAAACTTTGGCAGCTACGTGCCTCTTTGTTTCAACTTGCCATTACAGTGTGTGTGTGGGGGGTAAGTTGTTGCTTTAGAATTGGATAGATAAGAGAAACGAAACCTCTACGATTCTGCTGAAGGCCGGTGAGAGCCTGAAACCTTTTCAAGGACAGAGCAGCAGGTGCGGGGAGGAAGCAGACGGTTCCCATAACAAAGTGAAACTGTTTACATGGACAACATGAGAAGTTGCGGGTTTGGCTGGGGGAAATTATTGCTTAATTCTATGAACTGGTGTCTGGGAAGCTCGGAGTTAGTTTTGCTTCAACATTACCATACCGTGTATTCAATAAACAGTAAGATTTTCGGAAACGGAATAAACCTGGAGTGTTTATTTGGATTCTCGAGCTGGCTGTGGACAGATGGTTGCAGCAGCCCCAGGGTCACGTGATCCCCATTTGTGACCTTCCCATCTGGGCTCTGACAAACAAGGTCAACGGGGGAAGCCAGATTCACTTAACAACCACAAGTTTCAGTTAATAACTGCAGTGATTTGTTTAATAACCATGGAACAAAAGGACATAAAATTGAGCGTGCCTTGCTTAGCAACAGCTTTGCTCAGCAAAGGAAATTCTGGTCCCAGCTGTCTGCGTAAGACGAGAGTTGTAAACAGACTAGACTGTTTCTGCACAAATCCAAATTTAACCTCAACTGTCTCTGCCTAAAGTGATTTTTGGTCTTAATTCCAGACGGTCAATTCACCCTAAGCAGGTCATCAGATTATTATTTTTTTATAGTATTTTATTAGTTTTCTACATTTGCAATTCGTAAGTGCTTAGTAAACAACGTGGTGTCCGGGTCCCTTTCTTTTACTTAATAATGCACATTAAAATCCTAATCTCTCCCCCGTTTTTCCAGCCACTGATAAAATGCATCTCATATTTGAAAGTATTCTGTGTCTTCTTTTTCCTTAATCTTCAGTGAAAGTCTATCCATTTCTGCACAGTCCAGTATTTTCATGATGATCTCTTCTTCAGAGGGTGTTTCTTTATTTTTCCAATACTGAGCAAATACAATTCATGCTGCCGTTAATGCATGCAACATTAAATATACACTTTCTTTATCATATTTTCCTGATAATAGACCTAATAAAAATAGTTCTGGTTTTAAAATCTGCGTGTTTTCTTAACATCTTTCCTAGCCAGATATTATTTTTATTGATTATTTTCATTCTGAGCCTTCGAACATGCAGAGAAACCGTGTGATATTTTTTTTTTCAACTCCCATGTCGAAAAGGAGAGCCTGCACTGTATTGTTTGAGTTGAAATTGGAAATGCGATTTCTACTTCCAGAAAATGTGAAGAAATAATATTGATCATTGTGCAAATCCTGAAGCAGTGTGGTTTTTCTGAACGGAAGGGGAAGGAGGGTGAATACGGGCCAAATAGCTGAGGATAAAAGAAAAAAGAAAAAATCTTTGTGCTGGTTAGATTAAATTAAGTGTTGGAAGCATCTCTCTTCAGCTCTGCTGTGGCCCTTGACATTTTTCGACTGGGCTGTGAAATTCATCTACTGACACAACTGCAAACATTTAAAAAAAAAAATAATAAAAAATTCAGGTCTAAAAAAGGAAGGGGGAGTGAGTTGGGCACAGAAAAAGCCTCCCCTGGGGGGGGGGAGAGAAAAGAAAAATCAAAGCGATTCCATCATGCTTGCAAAGCCCAATCTGGAACAGGAACTCAAAATGAATCTCCAAGGAGGATGAGATGAGAAAGAGAGAGAGAGAGAGAGAGAGAGAGAAAGAAACAAGAAAGAAAGGAGGGAGAGAGGGAGAGAGGGAGGAAGAAGCAGGCAAGGAGGAAGGGATATAAAGAAGGAAGGAAGGGATGGGAGAAAGGAAGGGATGAGAGAAAGAAAGGATGAGAAGGGAGGGATAGGGGAAGGGAAGGGAAGGGAAGGGAAGGGAGGGAGGGAGGGAGGGAGGGAGGGAGGGAGGAAGGAAGGAAGGAAGGAAGGAAGGAAGGAAGGAAGGAAGGAAGGAAGGAAGGAAGGAAGGAAGGAAGGAAGGAAGGAAGGGGAAACTGAGTGTGGAGGGGTTGCTGTGCAGAATTAATCAGAGAAAATGTGAGTCCCCAGGAGGAGAAACGGGAGGAGGCGAACAGGGACCTCCAATTACAGCCAGGTGGAGGGTCATCTCGTTCCCCCAAACGATGAAACTGGGTGATTTTTCTTGGGGGGTGGCGGGGAAAACCTAAGCAGGATGGAGAAAAATCAGCATGAAGAAACGAGAGGGAAAAAAAAATAAGCGAGAAGAAAGAAGCAAAAAGGAGGAATCTTTGGGGAGAAAAAACAGGGACTAGAAACTTGAGATCTAAATAAGCGGGTCTAAAACACGTTGTGCTTTCCTGCCTTGGGCGACAGGCCCATGCAGAGCCTCCATGCTCAGGCACAGTCTCCGGCCACAAGCTGAGAAAGCGCTGGAGGAGGGCAGCCAATAGGTAAATTAAATTCATGCAGGACAGGGAGAATAAATTCTCTGAATCTGTTTAATCTCCATTTAATTGATCCGACGGCTGATGAAGCAGAAAGAAGGAAAGCGGCCCTCGGAAATTAACTCTCATGAGGCTAATCTTTTTAAAACGGACAAGCTCAAAGCTAAATCTTGCTGGGGGGGGGGGAGAGATTTAGTTGTCCCCGCCAAGCATCCAGGTAATAAAAGTTAAGCAGACAGGTAGACCTGGAAAACCTACGTGTCTGCCTTCGCTGACAATCAGGGGAAGAAAACAAGAGAAGGAAGGTAAGAATCAAGCAAAAAGTATGGATTCACAGATAATCCTCCACTTATGACAGCCCGTTTACTGACCAAAGCGACGACGATGCGGGAAAAAAGTGACGATCCTTGTACTGACGACCTGCAGAGCATCCCTACAACCGCCGTTTGGGCACCTTGCAAAAGGAATGTACTTATTTATTTATCAAATTGATTCATTAACTAATTACTTTATTTTGGGATGTGTTTATTTGCTGTGTATTTTTATTATGCGTGTAGTTATTTATTAAATGTATAGCCTAGGCGGGTTTATTTACGACGGCTGTAGCATTATAATGAGCCGAGGTGGCGCAGCAGTTAGGGTGCAGTACTGCAGGCCACTTTAGCTGGCTGTGTTCAGCAGGTCAGCGGTTCAAATCTCACCGGCTCAAGGTTGACTCAGCCTTCCATCCTTCCGGGGTAGGTAAAAGGAGGACCCAGATTGTTGGGGGCAATGTAAATATATATATATACATTGCTTACTGGTGTACACCGCTTAGAGAGTGCTTGCACTTAAAGCGGTATACAAGTCTCATAAATAAATAAATAAATCCCAGGATCGCGTAATCGCCATTCGTGGCCTTCCCGGCCGGCTTCCAACAAGCCAAGTCAGTGGGGGAAGGCAGAGTCGCTTAATGACCAGGGGATCTGCTTAACGACTGTGGCAAGAAAAGATCAGGTGTGGTCACAGGATGACTCGTTTACGGATGGAAGATCTGGTGCCAAAACTGGTCATAAGTTCAGGACTACTTGTGATTATCTGGAGGAGGATGGAGCAGATAGCAGATCTCCGCTAGGAACCGTGTCCACCTTTGTGATCCAAGATGAAGACCTGACGGTCTAGGACAGGGATGGCGAACCTTTTAGAGACCAAGTGCCCAAACTGCAACCCTAAACCCACTTATTTATGGTCGGGTGCTGGGTGGGCGTGGTCCACTGAGTGGGCGTGGCTGTGGTGGTCGTGGCAGACTGGGTGGGTGTGGCCAAGGTGGGTGTGGTCACCTCGATGTTGCTCGTGGGGAGGGACGCCTGTGGGGATAGAGCAGGGTTGGGGGAGATCCAGGGGGTCTCTGGCAGGTGGGGCGATGGGCAGGAGGCTCATCCTGAGAGGTGAGGCGAGGCAAGGCGAGGCAGGGCGGGGGTGCCATGGTTGCAGGGCAAGGCGAGGCACGGGCCAAGGCGGCTGCTGCCTGACACCATCGGCCCCCGCACACAGAGGCCAGCATGGGGGGCCGACAGTGTCCGTCAGCAGCCACAGCCTGCCAGCCCCTCGACCGGCGCATTCTGGGGCTCCGCAGCCTGCCTCCAGCAGTTCAGAGAAGCCGCCTCTGAGCTGGACGGCCGGCCAACAGCTGACGAGGCGATGCAGTGGGTTGTGCCTGGGAAAAGGAGAGCATGTGAGGCCAGGAGGGATGGGATGGGGGGAGGGAAACCAACCGTGCTGGGATGCATCCGGCCATGTGGGACCTCGGCGAGTTAACGGGCGGCTGGTGGAAGAGGGACAGTTGCCATCTCCGGGGCATGGTGCACGTGCCCACAGAGAGGACTCTGAGTGCCACCTCTGGCACGCGTGCCATA